GTTTGGCCTAGCAGCCAAGACATTTCCTTTAGTTGGCCGGGTCAGCCCCCAAATGTATCTTTCAATCTTTTTGCTTTCCGGGGTGACCATCCCCGGGCAGAGGAGCGCTAGGTCTTCAAACCTAGATGTATAGTGGCGACGTCAGAACCCTTCATCTTTAGGTTCCAAAGTGCGTGCTCCAGTTTCTGCATTTTGCCCCGAGGGCAGTATTCAACAAGCATGATCTCTTTTAACCTCTCCCAACCCATAGCATTTGCTACTGGTAGGGTTAGGGACTTGACCCGACCATTCCAGCATGTCAGTGTCCTGTTGGCGAAGGTGCAAGCGGCGAATTTTACTTTGTTGACCTCAAAACAAGAGCAGATTTCGAAAATGGACTCGATCTTTTCGAACCATCGTGTCAGGGCAATAACACCTCTAGTGCCATCGAAGGATGTGGGTTTTGAATTCATGAAATCCTTATTGGAGCACTTCTTTTGGTGTCCCTGTCCACCTTCATGATTTTGGGGATTCATATCACCTCCTTGTCCACCCGATCCGCCAGGATTCATCTGTGACATCGCGGTAGCCACAATAGTAGTAACAGCTGCTTGGAACATAGCGGGATCAAACGGAGGTGGAGGTGGAGGAGGGTTATTGTTCTTTGAGTTGGGTATTTTCTTTGGAGGCATCTTGTTCTAAAATGATTATGAGGGAGAGGATGGTAAGTCCACTTATTTTAATTAGGAGATACGAAACAAGATGTATCTCTACATGATAGATAAAGTGTTCCACGAAGCGATAGAACAGGAAAAAGTTACTAAAGCAAGTAAATTATCGATAAGGAAAGAATGAGTAGCAACACTTGGAATGAATTTCTACAACGTATTCAACTCTGTCTAAAATACCCCTATAGTATTTTATGTTGAAGATTGTGTTTTATTGATAACTTTTGGTACTATGACTTTGGTAAGTTTTAGGCTTGTTGCAACCCCACAGTCACTCCCAAGCACATGTTGGTCATGTCTCGAGTGAATATAGTTGATCAGGTTATATTGACCCTAGACATGATTACATAATTGCCCAGGTTTAACCACAGTGTTCAACATCCAAATACTTTTGTTTGGTTCATTTCATGATACTGATTCTTGGTATGTAGGTATACTTGTATACTTGGAGTAAAAACACTTATATTTTTAAAGTATACTTTTAGTTCAGAGCACTTCAGCCCCTTAGTGTTTATAGTTATATACAATGTAAGGTTCGGTATACTTAGTTCACTATAAACAATTGATCTAATACCAATCCGTCACACCCCAAAACCGGCGGCGGAAAAGTTTCGGGGCTGAGGACGTCATGTGTAGTATTACAACCATTGTACATAGTAAGCATAGTAAACACAACCATTACATTACAATAAGAATATTTACATTTGTTTAAAAACATTGAAAACATAGTTTATATACATCAGTATAATCAAAAGTAAATATGAGACTTCTGTATGCTCCGTCTTCTCCAAAAGTTGGTAGAAATACCTGTCTATGGTTGACCTAAGAATACAAGCAGTTTTAGAAATATCAACATAAAGCCGGTGAGTTCATAGGCGGTTGCTTCTGGTGAAAGAAAATGTTCCTTTGGTTTTATGAAAAGTTGTTTGTCAAGAAAATCCCATATTTTCTTAGAAAAGAAGTTTGATTAACCATTTGTTAAACAGGCTGTTTATGAAAACGTAAGTTATCCCAGGAAAAACCCATATTTTCCTTAAAAGTTAATAGTCGGTGAACGATCCTGAAATGAAGTGTACAAGTATCTACCATACTTGTATCGTTAGGTGTAGTTTTCTTGAAAAACTATGTTACACTCAATGAGATGTATTAGCTTTAATATACACATAAAACTAATAAGTAAGTAGTGAACTAATTCCTAAGGGTATTGCTGATACCCTATAGTAATCAAAACAATTATTACTTTGAGGTTAGTTCACTAGGTTCATTATTACCAAAAGTAAATCTTCATTATCTAAGTTGCGAGTTCTATAACCATACAATACACTGGATATGACGCATAACGGGGGCCATTATCATTTATGACTTTGTCACCCGTAGACCTGTCGGTCCCACTATAGCTAGCAGCGAGGTGCGTGGTAGTTAGTCCCGTATAGATCTATACACAATAGTCACGTTCTCCCTCCAAGAGGTTCTGGTTACAGGGTTAGTCCTACACTCGCGTATTCTGGTGGAGTGTTACCAAGGACGTGTCTCTAATCTTAATAATAATGAATTTACAAGTAATAATATAGAAAATCATGTTTTATGGCTAGCATGAATGCTTTGAGAAACATAAAATATAACATTTTATGATAAGATTCACGAGTTTCCATGCTTTAGTTTTAAAAACTATCTCTACAAGTTGATTTCTTAATCGGTTGGTAAAAACGGATTTATGTGTTAAAAGCATATTGAACATGTAAGTATTTCATACGAAATTATAGGTTTTGAGTACAAGTTCCCTTGTACTTTTGCCCCCCCCCCCCCCCCCGAAATCATGAAAAACTTGGAAAAAAAGTGTAGGTGTATGAACTCACCTGTAGTGAGTGGAGAGGATGGAAGTGTCGGGTAGAATGTAGAATGCTAGGTGTTAAGTGAGGACTTGAACACACCCACGGATCCTATGTAACATACAGTGATACATAATGCTATCTAATTAGTCATTTAATAAGTAATTATACAAGTAAAGGCATACTAATGCACGAAACACTTTACCACAAGTGCTAGGAGTACAAAGGGTTTCATATAAAGAGAGTATGGCCTCACTTTGGAGTTTACTCTTCAAATGGTATCCCTTAAGGGTGTTTACGGTTTTTGAACCATTCCCCCATGAATTTACTGCCGAAGAGTTTACGACCCAAGAGAGTTTGCCGCCCAAAAGAGTTTACCACCGTAAACTCCATGTTTACGACCGTAAACTCCATCTTATGGAGTTTATGGTATGATTTTAGTTTTAGGGATTTAGTGGTTGTTTTCTAACACTTGTTCCTTAAGTGTACTGGCATCGGAATACTCAAACAGACCTTAATTTAGCTAAATGGTAACAAAAATGAATTTGACTTTCAATGAAGTGCTAGACTGCAGAAATTATACATACAAAAAATTTGGGTTGTCACATCATCCCCCCGTTAAAGGGAATTTCATTCCGAAATTAGAGTTTAGGATACAAATCATGGATTAGGAAAGAGAGGCGGATACTTCTGTTTCATCTGGTCTTCGAGCTCCCATGTGAATTCAGGTCCCCGTTTGGCATTCCAACGAACCTTCACTATAGGGATGCGACTTTGTTTCGTTCGTTTCTCTCTGTCCATGATTTCGACCGGTTCTTCCACGAAGTTGAGGTCCTTGTTGATTTCAATCTCTTCGAGAGGAATTACAAGTGTCTCATTGGACAGACATTTGTTTAGGTTCGATACATGGAAAACAGGGTGAATGTTGTCGAGCTCTCGCGGTAATAGGAGTTTGTATGCTACGGGACCGATCCTAGCAAGGATCTCGAATGGTCCGATGTACCTTGGGTTTAGCTTTCCACACTTTCCAAAGCGTATCATGCCTTTCCAGGGTGAGACCTTCAGAAGGAGGCGGTCACCAACCTGGAACTCCAAGGGTTTTCGTCTCTTATCGGTGTAGCTTTTTTGCTTGTCTCGTGAAGCTTTTAGTCGTTCCTAGATTTGTACAATCTTCTCCGTTGTCTCTCGAATGATTTCAGGACCAGTGAGAGTACTATCGAGGATTTGACCCCTAGCTAGCTACGTGTTGCCCACCTCAGCCCAACACAAAGGGGATATGCACTTGTGGCCATAGAGGGATTCAAATGGCGCGACCTTGATGCTGGTATGGTCACTGTTGTTGTAGGAAAATTCAACTAAAGAAGGATGAGTGTCCCATGAAGTGCTGAAGTCAATGACAGAGGCTCTCAACATATCTTCCAAGGTTTGAATTGTTCTCCCACTCTGTCCATCAATTTGCGGATGATAAGTCGTGCTCATATCCAATTTAGTTCCAAGAGCCTTTTGTAAGGACTACCAGAACCTTGATGTAAACCTGATGTCTTGATCAAAGATGATGGATGCATGTATACCATGAAGACGAACTATTTCTTGTAGGTAGATCCTTGTGAGTCTCTCTATTTTGAAGCTTTCTTTGATTGGTAGAAAGTGGGCGGACTTCGTCAACCGATCAACAAATACCCAGATGGCATCGTGCTACTCGGAGATCTGGGTAACTTGGTGATAAAATCCATGGTTATCCCTTCCCACTTCCAATCAGGTATTTTCGGCTGCTGAAATAGATGTGAGGGATTTTGATATTCGACCTTCACCTTGGCGCAAGTCAGGCACTTGCCCATGAAGGTAGCTATTTCTGCTTTCATGTTTGGCCACCAATGGAGTTGTTTGAGATCCATATACATCTTATCCAAACCTGGGTGAACGGAGAATTTAGTCTTGTGAGCCTCATTCATGATAACCTCTCTGCAACCACCGAACTTTGGGGTCCAGATTCTGTTCATGAAATAGTAGACTCCGTCTCCCTTGATCTCTAGATTCTTTTCCATTCCTCTCAAGGCTTCACCTGGCATGCTCTCTGGTTTTAAGGCTTCCAGCTGAGCTTCTCTGGTCTGTGCGGATAGGTGGGAATGTATGGTCATTGTTAGTAGGCCTGTCAATTCGTGCAGTCGTTTCGTGTATTTGCGTAACACGACACGACACGAATTGTTTTTTCATAACCCGAAAACAACACGACACGACGTCGTGTTTTTTTTTCTAACACGAACACGAATTTATTAAAAACCCGACAAACACGACTTACACGACAACACGACAAAAGTAGCATAAAATTTTCTTTTTTTAATTAATTCATGTTTAAAAAACGACAAACACGATAACACGATAAAATAACAAAAAAAACACCAATATCCTCAAATTAATACATGCTTAAAATGAGAAACACGCCAAAAAAAAACATAAAATGGTACTAAACGTCCTCAACTTTTGTATCCTTGTTATCCATTTGCATGACATCATCGGTAAGCTCTTCTAAAGATAACTCTTCATCACCTACAAAATAAAAAACATAACATAAAATTAATAAAGAAAAGTTAATTAATACAAGAAATTCAAATTTTCAGAAAGTAACAAAAATAAATACCTTTAGTTGCAAACAACCAATCTTTGGTACAAATTATAGCCTCAACAATGTCATGCTTCAAAGAACTTCGATATTGATTAAGAACACGACCACCATTACTAAATGCAGATTCGGATGCTACAGTGGAGACCGGGATGCTTAAAATATCCCGAGCCATACAAGCAAGCTCTGGATAACGATATTGATGTGCTTTCCAAAAAGATAGAATATCTAAATCCTCATCTATGTCACTTCTTGGCTCATCTAAGTACATCTCCAACTGTGACTTCTGAGACAAAACAAATTCTGTACTCTCATAAGTTGTGAACTCCTGTGAAAAAAAAAATTATTAAAAGGAATAAAATTATACATTAAGTTAAGATCACAAAATATTTAATAAGTAGTTTTTTTTTACCTTTAACATCTCTCTCGTGCTTTTACTAAACACCGTGTCACTTTTCTTCACATGCACAACCTTTCTTGAATCACCCCTTGATATTGTTGAACTTTTACAAGATACGTGTGAATCAAGAACGTACTCTTTAAAGAGATCAAATAATCTCTCCCTTACACGATCAATGTGTTCAAAAGATTTGCTTCCGTATAGTTTTTTATAAATAAACTCAACGTACTGTATTTTATAACGCGGATCCAAAACTGCAGCCATTGCCAAAATCACACTATACTCGGACCAATACTTTGAAAACTTCTCATACATTTTCGAAGCCATTTCCTTCATAAACTTATCTGAACTTAACATTTCTTCTTTTAAAGTTTTTTCAACCATAGAAACAAAAGGAAAATATAAGTTTGCTGTGGAGTATTTGTTTCCAGAAAAGATGCACGTAACTTCATAAAAAACCTCCAAGAATCTAAAAATCTTTTCTAATTTACCCCATTCATCATGAGTTGGGCAATCCAAATAATTAGAATCGCCAAGTGCTAAATGAAAGAAAGCACGTCGATAAAATAAAGCACTTTCAATCATAAGATAAGTGGCATTCCATCGGGTTGGAACATCTTGACGCAAACCTGTTTTTGGATTCAAATTGACATATTTAACACAATCAATAAATTTCTTTCTCCTTGCTTGAGAACCCTTCACATACTTGATAGACTCTCGTATTTTAACGATCCCTTCATCAATAGCCTTCAAACCATCTTGCACAACCAAATTTAGCACATGAGCACAACACCGAATATGAAAATAATCACCATTACTACGAAGAGCACCTTCATTGCACAATTGACCTTTTAGTAGATTGACAAAAGTATCATTACTTGATGCATTGTCTAATGTGATAGTAAACAATTTTTTATCAATCCCCCAATCGGTCAATAACGTGGAAATCGTTTCTGTTAAGCATACACCACTATGTGGGGGTGGCATATATTGAAAGCTTAAAATTCTTTTTTGCAATTTCCACTCCTCATCAATGAAGTGACAAGTCACACACAAAAAACCATCCGTATTAATTGAAGACCACAGATCAGAAGTTAAAGAAATTCTACCCTGGTTTAACTCCAGTAATTTCTTAAGTCTGATTTTTTCCCTGTTAAACAGGCTCACAACATCTGAATTAGCTGTGTTTCTAGTATAAGTGACAACATTTTCATTTAAGTACCAAAATACTTCTCTAATCCCCTCATACTCCACAAATTTAAAAGGTAAATCATGCTTGACAATAGCTTCACTCACAAGCTCACGAAATTTTTCGGGTTTAAAAACTGTGGAATTCATAGACATTGAACCACCAGATTTTGAAATAAGTAGTTGTGCTATGTCACCGTTATCTCTCCTAGGACACTTTTTTATGTGACCTCGCAAGCTTCCTGTTCCATTTTTTGTTTCACAGATGTATCTTTTTGAGCATCTCTTACATTTTGCCCTTTCCCTTCCATCATTACCAATTGGAAGTCTTTCAAAAAACTTCCATACCTTCGACCATCGTTCTCTTTCTGATTTGACATGAACTTCTTCACCTTCTATTTTAACATCTACATCAACCACATCGATGTCATCTTCTTCAAGGTCAACATCCTTCAAAAAAAAAGTATAATATTTAGGTATGTAATGAATTGGAAGAGTAGTAAACTTGATGAAATTCAATAAGTTAAATTGGTAGTAAAAATACATGTGGAGCCACAACTACAGCAGCTTCTATTGTTGAATCAAGCTTTGCCTTCTTCATAACTACAACAGGTTCTGCTGGTTCTATATTATCTGGACAGAAACAAATAACAGGTTCTATATTATCTGGACAAAAAGAAATAACAGAAAGAAATCTGAACAGAAAGAAATAACAGATTTAAAGCTTAAATAACAGTTAATGAAATAACTGGTTCTGCTGCACAATGCACATATACATATAATTATCTATACGAAAAACATAATCATTACTGAAATAACAGAAAGAAATAACATATTCAAAGCTTAAATAACAGATGCAAAGCATAAATAACAGTTAATGAAATAACATGTTCTGTTGCATCCATGTTCTTGAGAAAAAAACACAACCACATGTTCTTGAGAAAAAAACACAACCACATAATTTGTAGATAGAAGGTAATATGTTAAGCTTGAGTTTGGAAAGAAGGTTTAAGGTATTTTGGGGATAATCAGTGTAAAAGCAGTAATGGCGGTAAAAGTCAAGCTTGGTTCTGTTCCTTCCTGTGTGTTCTGATTTATTGCAAATCACACAGCAAGAAATTTTGACCGATAATTAGGGTTTGATCGATAACAAGGAATCACAGAATGGTTTGATCGATAATAATGGCAGTAAAAATCAAGCAGAAAATCAAAAAATATAGCTATATAATCGATAACCTAAACTAAAAAGGAACACAAAGAAAGGAATTTTGATGGATGAAAAACATTACCGTGATGATTGTCGATTGATGAAGAAAAATAGAAATCGCCCAGTCGCTACCGTGAACTTGTGATGAAGGAATCGGCCAATCGATATGTTATGACTTCTAATTTCTGAAGAGCTAAGTCGGTCGATGTGCTCTACACTGTTTGTGCTCGAATTAGGGTTTGATCGATAACAAGGAACAACAATCTGCGCTTGAAATTTATAATCGTAGTCCGTAGATGGAGAGTGAAGAGTCGATCTGTCGATGGAATATGAATCGGAAGTCGGAAGAGTGAAGATGAACCGAGGGAACTTTTATTGGAACTTTATAAAGTCATTAAACCAAAAGACGCTTCACTTAAACATGTATATATATATATATATATATATATATATATATATATATATATATATATATATATATTCAAATATATTATTTAATAAAAGCATAAGTCGGTTGTATCTCGTGTCAAACTCGTTTTTATTGTCGTGTTATATGTGGGCTTTTAATCGTGTTTGAGTCGTGTTACTTTCGTGCCAATTTCGTGCTAATTTCGTGCCCTTTTTTTAACACGAACACGACACGACACGACGTCGTGATTTTTTTTCCTAACACGAACACGACACGAACACGAATTCGAATTTCAATTTCGTTTCGTGTCGTTTTTTCTTGTCGTGTCGTGGCCTGTTTTGACAGGCCTAATTCTTAGTGCCTTCACCTTACGCCCTGAATACTCCTTTCGACTAAGGTCGTCTGCTACCACATTGGCCTTGTCGGGATGGTAGCGAATTTCGCACTCGTAGTGATTGAGTAGCTCAACCCATCGTCATTGCCTCATGTTTAACTCCTTCTGGTTAAAGATGTGATGTAAGCTCTTATGGTCGGTGAAGATAGTGCACTTGGTTCCATAGAGGTAGTGTCTCCAGATTTTTTAACGCAAAGACCACTACTCCCAACTCCAAGTCATGAGTTGTGTAATTTGGCTCATGTGTTTTCAACTGCCTCGAGGCATACGCGATAACCATTCCTCGTTGCATGAGCATGAGCACACAGCCTAGGCCCTGATTGGATGCGTCATAATTGACCGCGAAATCTTCCGTCCCTTCGGGTATAGATAGGATAGGTGCACTGCACAAGGCTCGCTTCAATGTTTGAAATGCAGTGTCTTGCTTTTCACTCCATCAAAAAGATACGCCTTTCTGAGTTAGAGTGGTTAGGGGTTTGGCAATTCTGAAGAAAATTTGGATGAATCTATGATAATAGCAGCAAGACCCAAGAATTGACGGATTTATGTGGGCGTCTTCAGTGCTGACCAATTCTCTATCGCTTTGATTTTGGACAGATCCACGTGTATGCCTTCCTCGCTCACCACGTGAGTGACATGACCCAAGAAACTTACCTTCCGAATCCAAAATTCACACTTGGAGAATTTCGCGTATAGCCTTTCTGTTCTTAGAGTTTCCAACACTAATCTCAATTGTTGTCTGTGATCTTCCTCGCTTCTTGAATAGACAAGTATATCGTCTATGAACACAATAACAAACTTGTCTATGAAAGGACGACACACCCGATTCATCAGGTCCATGAACACTACCGGTGCGTTGGTTAGACCGAATGGCATTACCATGAATTCGTAGTGGCCATATCGACTCTGGAATGTTGTTTTAGGAACATCACCTTCATGGACTCGTAGTTGATGGTACGCTGATCTTAAATCAATTTTTGAGAAGTAGTTGGCTCCTTGAAGTTGACCGAAGTGGTCGTCGATTCGAGGAATAGGGTAACGCTTTTTGACTGTGAGCTTATTCAGCTCTCGATAATCGACGCACATCCAAAAAGATCCATCTTTCTTTTTCACAAATAAAATTGGGGCTCCCCAAGGTGAGAAACTTGATCTGATGAATTCTTTGTTGAGCAGCTCATTGAGCTGGATGGACAACTCTTGCATTTCTGATGGTGCTAGGCGATATGGGGACTTAGCTACTTGGGTAGCTCCGGGGATTAGGTCGATACGAAACTCGACTTGACGCTCAGGAGGAATTCCCGGAAGCTCTTTTGGAAAGACATTAGGAAAATTGCAGACCTCGGGGATGCTCTCGAGGTCTTTAACTTCTTATTTCTCATTTACGACATGAGCTAGGAATGCAGTGCACTCCTTTCACAAAAGTTTTTGGGCTTTGATACAAGAAATGATACGAAGGCTGAAGTTGAGTTTATCACCATAAATCATGAGGGTTTCACCAGAGAGGAGATGGAGTCGGATAGATTTTTCGAAACACAGGATATCAGCATGATTGGGGCTCAACCAATCCATGCCAATGATGACATCGAATCTCTTTATGGAAACTGACATAAGATCGATGGGAAAGGAATGATCGTTTAGGGTAAGAGTGCAACCTACGTATATATCATTAGTGCTCTCCTTCTCACCGTTAGCCATCTCGATGGTAACTGTTTCGGTTAATGGTTGGGGTTTATGTTTAAGAAGGTGCTTGAATGCATGACTAACAAAACTTCTTTCAACACCAGAATCGAAAAGAATGCATGGATAAGAGTTGTCAAGGAGGAACGTACCCGAAACAATTGTGGGATCAATGATTGCCTCCTCGCATCCCATCGTCAGTATTCTCCCTGCGCCATCAGCTAATATTGTCTTGGGGCGGTTTCTTTTGTAGTGCCCGACTTCTCCATAATTATAACAAGCTTGACCGATGCCTGCTCCAGACATTTGATTGGTTGTTTGAGCTGGTGCCTTGAAAAACCGAATCGTATGCCCTTTTCTACCACAGTTAGAGCACGACATTTCACGACATACGCCGGGATTATGGTGGTAGTTACACTTATTGCACCGAGGAACGATACCAACATATTTACTGGTAGGTGCTTGAGTGGCAGGAGTAGCGACATGGGTAGTAGCAGCGTGGACTTCCACCGTTTGTTGTTTCTTTGAGGCTCCTGCGAAGACTGACCCTTCTTCTGCTTCCAGAATTATCTCTTCTCACCACTCCCTTTAGCCGGTTCAGGAGTGGTGGTCACTTCATCGAGATCGACTCCATGATCGATCAGAGTCTGCGCTAGACACTTAACGCTGCCGAAGGTGTTTGGCCTAGCAGCCAAGACATTTCCTTTAGTTGGTTGGGTCAGCCCCCAAATGTATCTTTCAATCTTTTTGCTTTCCGGGGTGACCATCCCCGGGCAGAGGAGCGCTAGGTCTTCAAACCTAGATGTATAGGTGGCGACGTCAGAACCCTTCATCTTTAGGTTCCAGAGTGCATGCTCCAGTTTCTGCATTTCGCACCGAGGGTAGTATTCAGCAAGCATGATCTCTTTTAACCTCTCCCAACCCATAGCATTTGCTACTGGTAGGGTTAGGGACTTGACCCGACCATTCCAGCATGTCAGTGTCCTGTTGGCGAAGGTGCAAGCGGCGAATTTTACTTTGTTGACCTCAAAACAAGAGCAGATTTCGAAAATGGACTCGATCTTTTCGAACCATTGTGTCAGGGCAATAACACCTCTAGTGCCATCGAAGGATGTGGGTTTTGAATTCATGAAATCCTTATCGGAGCACTTCTTTTGGTGTCCCTGTCCACCTTCATGATTTTGGGGATGCATATCACCTCCTTGTCCACCCGATCCGCCAGGATTCATCTGTGACATCGCGGCAGCCACAACAGTAGTAACAGCTGCTTGGAACATAGCGGGATCAAACGGAGGTGGAGGTGGAGGAGGGTTATTGTTCTTTGAGTTGGGTATTTTCTTTGGAGGCATCTTGTTCTAAAATGATTAGGAAGGAGAGGATGGTAAGTCCACTGAATTTAATTAGGAGATACGAAACAAGATGTATCTCTACATGATACATCTCTACATGATAGATAAAGTGTTCTACTAAGCGATAGAACAGGAAAGAGTTACTAAAGCAAGTAAATTATCGATAAGGAAAGAATGAGTAGAAACACTTGGAATGAATTTCTACAACGTATTCAGCTCTGTCTAAAATACCCCTATAGTATTTTATGTTGAAGATTTTTTTTTCTATTTATAACTTTTGGTACGATGACTTTGGTATGTTTTAGGCCTGTTGCAACCCCACAGTCACTCCCAAGCACATGTTGGTCATGTCTCGAGTGAATATAGTTGATCAGGCTATATTGACCCTATACATGTTTACATAACTGCCCAAGTTTAACCACAGTGTTCAACATCCAAATACTTTTGTTTGGTTCATTTCATGATACTGATTCTTGGTATGTAGGTATACTTGTATACTTGGAGTAAAGATACTTATATTTTTAAAGTATACTTTTTGTTCAGAGCGCTTCGGCCCCTTAGTGTT